ATACTTTCATAAATTATGTTTATAATGCAAACGTGATCTAGGGCCACGAATAGCATCCAGTATTTGAACCCAATTATAATTATAATCAACTCCGGAGACTAGAAATACGTAAGGTAAGTAGGTAATATTGTACGATTTAAAAATGCCTCATATAATAATACAGTTGAAGATATTCTTTTAATACATTTTTCATTACAATCATTTCAACTATAATTTATGATACTATTATGACGTTACAATGTAACGGTTGCATGGATAAGTATATATTAATATATAATAATAATACATAATATTTATATTGCCTATGGGCTATGTTACCTATATGGCTATATGTTTAATTTTGTTAGTTATGTATATTTCATTGATTTTAATTAATTTTGGGACATCAAAAATATATACCTAATACCTACTATAATGTAACACGTTTCCACCAAAAGTAGACCTTTCCCTTTTCCACTAATACCCGTTTCCACTAAAGGCGTATCTTTCCCTTTCCACCAATATTCGTTACCACCAAATGAGATCAACCAATAATTAAACCACGGTTAATTTACCAAAATAATTTGTATGCTATGCTTATATTAAAATCTTTAATACAGTAATAAGTTTATTTAAAATACTAATGTTTAAAAAATGATATATTAGTGTATTTAGTTATGTTATATTTTTTTTCAATCGTAGAATATAGTAGTATACAATTGTTTTTGTAAAAACGTGGTAAATAATTTTATTTGGCGGAAAAGGAAAAGATACACCTTTTGGTGGAAAAGGGAAAGGTACACTTTTGATGGAAACGGGCATCGCCCGACTATTGTATTTAACTGTTATTATATTACTATAAAATACCTAAAATGGGGTAACTTTGGCCCCGAGTGGTAACTTTGGCCCCGAGTGGTAACTTTGGCCCACCGTTAGAATTTCAGATAATTTTATATGCTGTTTCTCAGTCGTATTGTAGCAATATCCAAGAACAGTGCTACTGTTGACTGTAATGAAAATCTGTAAAAAAGTTGGAGATGGCCAAACAAAAAGGACTGTATCGACTACAAATGGGATGACGTAATAAGAAAAATCAAACCATTTGTATGAGCAAACGAAATTTTTTTCATGTGCCAGAACTTGAGGATTTTGTTTAATTAATTAACTTTTTATGTATAACTGC